TTGGGGGGGTGGGGGGCGGCGGGCAGGGAAGGGCAGGGAAGAAGCCTGGGGAAAAGCTGAACATAGGGGGGCAGCGCTCCCATGGCCAGTGCTCCCTGCTCCAGCCACTTGCAGCCCATGCGGGGCTGTCCAGAGCAAGCACAGGCAACCCCAGGCAGGCTGCAAGCGGCTTTAGTGCGGGGTGCCAGGCACAGGGCAGGGAGGGGCTGCTCCCCCACCCTGCGCTCAGCACCACCTTGTAACCCAGCCCCATGCCAGCTCCAGGCTCGCCCGTCAGGGCTATGCACGGCGACAGCAGCTGCGGCCCCCCCAGCTTGCCATGCCAGGTAGTGTTGGCTGCTGCTGCCTGTGGGCTGCCCAGCACGCGAGCTCTGGGTGGGCAGCAGCAGCCAACATTGCCCAGCGTGGCAAGCAGGGGGGGCCACAGCTGCTACTGCCAACGGGCAAGACCAGAGCTGGTGGGGCCCAGGCTGGCAGTGGCTGCAGGTTACAAGCTGGTGCTGACAGCAGGAAAAGTGGCCCCTTGCTTATCCTGTGGCTGGTGCCCTGTTCTGTAGCAGCTTGCAACCCACATGGGGCTGCCTGTGCCTGCTCCAGACAGCCCCACGTGGGCTGCGAATGCTTGCAGCAGGGAGTACCAGCCATGGGGCTGGCGAGGGGCCACTTTTCCCCATGCTCAGCACCAGTTCCTTCCCTGCTGGTGAGTGTAGGGTTGGGGCTGTGCACTGCCCCCCTGCCTGTACCACAGGGCTGGGGGGCACTGGGAGTGAGCAGGTACAGGAGCCAGCAGAAGCATAGGGCCCACACCAGTGTCCCGGGGCCAGTGCCGGTGGGGCCCAGAGCAAGATGGCAGGAGCATGGGGTCCCAGCTGGCAGGGGCACTATGGAGCTGGGCCAGCTCCCCCCTCTCCCTGCTGGTGCAGCCCATCCTGGCTCCACAGACTCCTGCAAGCCTGTGCCCTGCTTTGGGCCCCACCAGTGCTGGCCCTGGGACACTGGCTCCAAGATGGTGACCAGGGGGTGGGGCTACCCATGTGGCCCTCAACAGCCTGCCAAAACTGGGTAAGCGGCCCTCAGCCCAAAATAATTGCCTGCCCCTGATGTATACTGTCACTGCTCCCGTTTAGTCAGGTCTCTAAGGACCAGAGCCATAGCTACGGCTGCTTGGGAGACATCACATAGGTCTGATCCTAGAACGGCAGTGCCAGGAGCAGCTCTGGACCCTCAAGGATGTAAGGGAGCCTTCCCATACACCTAATCTCTGCCCTGCAGCCCATGGCAGGCTCACCTCTCCTACTGGCTAGAACATGGATTCAGCCATTTTTCTCAGGTGCTGCCACTCAGGCATGGCAACCTTCCCTTCTCCAGAGCAGAACAGAGGCCCAAGAATGAGACTGTGTGGTAGTGATGGTCATTCTATGCACATACAGCACCTAATAATGGTGCCCTGACTGGAAGAGATTAGCACTTTAGTACTACAAACAATGACAGACACTCCCCTCCAACCCCAACAGTGAAGCATGTTCTCTCCACTGTGCCCCTACACCCTTGCGGGCCCAAGGACCTGTGTATGCCCATCCCTACTGCCCTCTATGCTTGGGCTCTTCTGCATCTTCTACTGCCCTTAGAGCTAGTGAAGAAGTGTGTGGTGGCAGCCCCAATCATTGGTCTTTTTGAACCCAGGTGAGAAAAATAGACTTTCCCTCCCAAGATGGTTTATTTTCCCTAACAGCCAGAGATGAGTGTCAACAGAAACTCTGTGAGCCTGACTTCTCCACTCAGGGATGTGGTGACAAGTGCTTCCCAGTACTGGTGCAGGGTCAGTATCTTTGTTAATCACCAGGCAATTCTTTCTCCCTTAGGATGAAAGCCCCAAGTTCTGGCTCATTCTTTCTCCATCACCCACTGGAAAGGAAACTAGTTTCACAAGCTGTCCTCAGCTAGCAAACTGCTGAGAACTCCATGCTTCCACTCAAGGGCACTGAGCGGCTCTACTACAACTAAACCGCTGACTGAGCAGCTCTCCTCTCATTCAACATCCTGAATGCAGGCCCCTTTGGCTTCACTGGTTTGAAAAAGCCTCATTGGCTGTTACTAAATCACTGGAGAGTCTCAAACCCATTCAGAATTATTCGTATCTTGTAAAAATCAAAGATGACACAACAAAGACAGGTGCCTCACTGCAGCCCTCTTCTCAAGAGAAGCAAACAATACACAGACTGGGAAAGACAGACCACCTTTAATCAGCTGTTTAAACTCACCCACTTTTGTTATGAGAAAGTGCAAGGCTGGATCATCACCCTTTGACCTTGCGAGCTACAGTGAGTTGTCCCAGTATGTCTGCTGCCTTGTTTAGGCTACATGATGTTACGCTGCTTGTAGACCCACCTACTTTCCACCCCTGATCTACTCTTAAGAAACAGAGAGTGGAGCCCTTTAAAGGATACAACTTCTGGATGAGGTCATAAGCATGTTTGTAGTTCTGAGTGAGGAAGCAGAGGGACACAGTTGTCACAGGGTTGTGGCACCAGGAACGGTATAGGCAGCAAAACAGGTTACGGCTCTCCTGGGGAAAGAGAAAGCAATGAGTTAGAACTATAGCTGGAGCACACGGGTCTGTATACCAAGCCTCAGGTTCCCCACACCTAGACTGCCTGAAGTCAGTGGGCCAACACATAACAGGGCTGATTCAACCTTGCATTCCTCCAAATCAGAGAACCAAAGTACTACACAAGACATCATGGGGATCCCTTGAAAAGATATAAAAGGAGATATTTCTGGGCTTCTAAATGTACAAACATGCTTGTGTATTGCACTTGACTGGTGACAGCACATGTAGCTGTGATATTTACCTAGACCAGTAGTTCTTAACCTTTTTAGACTCAATACACCCCTTGGGAAATAACAGTTCTGTTTTCACTTGATTTTTGACTAAAGAAATGTAATAGAGCAATTCTTCTGTTGCAAAGAACTCAGAAAGACCTCAATAGGTCAGAGGGTTTTTAATGCTATGAATTCTTATTTGAGATCTCTGGGTTTATCTTGTGAATCATGGGTGCACACCCAACAGTGCTAATATTGTGCTCCACAATGCAATACCCTTAGCAGGATATCAAGGCACCCCAGGGTGCCAGCACCCTAGTTAAGATGCGCTGACCTAGACAAATGGCCATTTCAATCTCCCTGGCTATTTGCATGAGTATCTGTTGTAATGGCTCCCTACTGTGAGGAAACGCAGATGCATGTCTTGGGAGGTCTTCTGCTTGTTCAGAGCCAGGGTCCAAGATGTCACAGAGGGACTACTGAGGCTCACTTGGCCCCCTGACTAGTACCCCATGCTGCTCATCCATGTGGGCACCAATGATACTGGGCTCTGTGTGCAAGGGTGAGGGTGCCTGAGGCTCAGGTTGTGTTCTCGTTGATCTTTCCAGTCAAGGGAAAGGGCCTGGGGAGGAGTACGTGCACCCCGCAGATGAACACCTGGCTACACAGGTGGTGTCGCCAACAAGAATTTGGCTTCTTTGACCACGGGACGTTCTTCCAAGAAGGATTGCTGGGAAGAGATGGGATCCACCTGGTGAAGAAAGGGAAGAGCAACTTCACGGACAGGCTCGCTAACCCAGTGAGGAGGACTTTAAAACTAGGTTCACCAGGGGATGGAGACCAAAGCCCTGGGGGAAGTGGGAGACCTGGAGGTAGAGTAAGCAGGAAGGGGCTACAGGGGAGGTGCTTTCACACTTCCAGAGAAATCAGGGCAGTCAAATAGTTACCTCAGGTGACTGTACACAAATTCACAGAGCCTGGGAAACAAGCAGGAAGAACTTGAAGTCCTTGCACAATCGTGGAACTACGATGTGACTGGAACAACAGAGACCTGGCAGGAGCTCGCATGACTGGAGCACTGTCATGGATGGGTACAAACTGTTCAGGAAGGACAAGCGGGGAGAAAAGGAGAATGTGGAGGAGTATTAGGAATAGGAATTGTATGGCTCTTCATGTAAAAGAGCCACACAATTGCTCAGAGCTCCAGTATGAAACTGCAGACAGACTGTTGAGAGTCTCTGGGTTAGGGTCAGAGGGGAAAGCAACAAGGGTGATGTCATGGTGGGGGTCTGCTGTAGACCACCAGACTAGGAGGAAGTGGTGAATGAGGCTTTCTTCAAATAGCTAGCAGAAGTTTCCTGATCATAGGTCCTGGCTCTCATGGGGGACTTCATTCACCCTGACATCTACTGGGAGGGCAATACAGCAGTGCATAGGCAACACAGAAAAAGTTTTTGGAGAGTACTGGAGACAACTTCCTGGTGCAAGTGCTAAAGTGGCCAACTAGGGGCCAAGCTCTTCTTGACCTGCTGCTCACAAACAGGGAAGAATTGCTGGGGAATATAGTAGTGGATGACAACTTGAGCAGCAATGACCACGAGATGATAGAGTTCAAGACTGTGAAGAAGGGGAGGATGGAGAGCAGCAGAGTAAGGTACCCTGGACTTCAGAAAAGCAGATTTTGACTCATGGGCAGGATCCCCTGGGAAGCCAGTCTGAGGGGGAGAGGAGTCCAGGAGAGCTGGCGGTATTTCAAAGAAGCTTTACTGAGAGTGCAGGAACAAATCATCCTGATGCACAGGAAGACTAGCAGGTATGGCGGAAAACCAGCTTGGCTTACAAGGGAACTTGTTAGTAAACTAAACAACAAAAAAGAAACCTATAAGAAGTGGAAACTTGGACACATAACCAGGGAAGAATATAAGAGCGTTGCTTGGACATGCAGGGATGAAGTCAGGAAGGCCAAAGAACAACTGGAGTCGCAACAAAAGGATGTGAAGGGTAACAAGAAGGGTTTCTACAAGTATGTCAGTAGCAAGAGGAGGATCAGGGACATGTGGGTTCCTTACTGAATGGGGGAGGCAACCTTGTGACAGAGGATGCAGAAAAGGCTGAACTTCTCAATGCCTTTTTTGCCCTAGTCTTCACAGGAAAGGTCAACTCCCAGAGTACTGCACCAGGCAGCACAGTTTGGTGAGGAGGTGAGCAGCCAACAGTGGCAAAAGAACAGGTCAGGGACTATTTAGAAAAGCTGGACATATAAAAGTCCATGGGGTCAGGTGGGACGCACCCAAGGGTACTGAGGGAGTTGGCTGATGAGACTGCAGAGCCACTGGCCATCATCTTTGAAAACTCATGACAATCAGGAGAGGTCCCAGATGACTGGAAAAGGGCAAACATAGTGCCCATATTTAAGAAAGGGAAAAAGGAGGATCCAGGGAATTGCAGACCAGTCAACCTCACCTCAGTCTCTGGAAAAATCACGGAGCAGATCCTCAAGGAATCCATGTCTAAGCACTTGGAGAAGAAGGTGATTAGAAACAATCAGCATGGATTCACCAGGGGCAAGTCATGCCTGACCAATCTGACTGCCTTCTATGATGAGATAGGCTCTGTGGATGTGGGGAAACTAGTGGATGTGGTGTATCTTGATTTTAGCAAGGTTTTTGATACAGTCTCCTACAACATTCTCCCAGGCAAGCTAAGGAAGTACAGGCTGGATGAATGGACTGTAAGGTGGATAGAAAGCTGGCCAGAGCATCAGGCTTAGAGAGTAGTAATCAATGGCTCAATGTCTAGTTGGCAGCTGGTACTGAGTGGAATGCCCCAGGGGTGGGTCCTGGGGCTGGTTTTATTCAATGTCTTCATCAGTGACCTGGAAGACGGGAGAGAGAGCACCCTCAGCAAGTCTGCAGCTGACAACAAGCTAGGGGGAGTAGCAGCTACACAGGAGGGTAGGGCTAATATTCAGAGCGACCTAGACAAATTGGAGGATTGGGCCAAAAGAAATCTCATGAGGTTCAACAAGGATAAGTGCAAAGTCCTACACTTAGGACAGAACAATCCCATGCAGCAGTACAGGCTGGGTGCTGGCTGGCTGCTTTTAGCAGCTCTGCAGAAAAGGACCTGGGGGGTTATAGTGGGCAATAAGCTGAATATGAACCAGAAAGGTGCCCTTGTTGCCAAGAAGGCTAACAGCATACTGGGCTGGATTGGTAGGTGTGTTGCCAGTATGTCAAGGGATGCAATTATTTTCCTCTATTCAGCACTGGTGAGGTCATATTTGGAATACTGTGTTCAGTTTTGGGCCCCCCACTACAGAAAGGACATGGACAAATTGGAAAGAGTGCAGTAGAAGGGGATAAAAATGGTGAGGGGGCTGGGGGACGTGACTTATGAGGGAAGACTGAGGGAACTGGGCTTATTTAGTCTAAAGAAGAGGAGACAGGGGACTGAATAGCAGCCTTCAACTACCTGAAGGGGGGTTCGAAAGAGGATGGAGCTAAACTGTTCTCCATAGCAGCAGATGACAGAACAAGGAGCAGTGGTCTCAAGTTGCAGCGAGGGAAGTTTAGGTTAGATATCAGGTAAAATTTTCTCACTAGGAGGGTAGTATAACATTGGAACAGATTACCCAGACGTAGTGAAAGCTCTATTCCTGGAGGCTTTCAAAACCCAGCCAGACAAATCTTTGGCTGGGATGATTGATCTGGGGCTGGTCCTGCTTTGAGCAGGGGGTTGGACTGGATGACCTCCTGAGGTCCCTTCTACCCCTAACTTTCTCTGATTCTATGAGGAGCACATTTTCACACAGGTATATGTGGAGATGATCAGAAATGTGGACCACTCTGCTTGTGGTATAAAGTACAGAGGGTGTGCTGTACATTTCTTGCAGCCTGCTGTGAGTTGCTGCACTTTACCCCAGAGCTGGTGACATTTCAGTAATATGGTACAGAAGCTCAGGGAGCAGAAAACTGCAGTGCAAATTTAGACTATAGTTGTCCTAAGACTGTACAGAGGCAGGTGGAAAAGTCTCCCCTGACTGAGGTCTTTTGTGCCAACCTGAAAGTCCAAGTGATTTTTTTGCAAATGATTAACAAGAGGTTCTGAAGGAAATGCTGACAGTCCCTTAGCTAGTGTCATTTTGCCAGTGCTCTAGTATGCCAAAATGCTCCCTCACAAGGGCAGGGTGGCAAAGTGGTTATGAAATCTAGCTATGGCTCTAGAGGTATAAACTCAAGCCCTTCTTTGAACTCATGTTAAAGACTTCCCTAGGTCAACTCAACAAGTATTGCCCACTGAAGAGGTGGGAGATAGCAGAGACAGGCAGATCTAATGCTGGCCATACTGCTCCTGTGTGCCACTAGCTACATAACCTGGTATGCCCCAGCCATGCCAGTCTGATAGATTTGTAGGGTGGAGGGGATCTGTGACCTCAGTTCTAGGCAGAATGATAGAAACCTCCGGAGACTAAATGTACAGGATATAGTATACAAGAAGCCCAAGATTGGTTTGTTTTCTCCTTTCAGCAGAAACCCCCAATGGTTTTCCTTAGTCATTAGTGGTTTGGTAATTCTGACTACTGCAGTAGGCACAAGCCAAGGCAAGCTGACTCCTCCTCTGCTGTGGCTTGAGTTGTCGTCACCCAACCCCCCCAGAACATCAGAGCACGTGGCAGGAGACTGTGCCTGAGAGCCATGACAGCGAAAGGGGTGTGGTTGCTACTGACAAAGCCTGCTGTGCCCTGGTGTGTGGGGAAGACGCACCAAAGGACTGGAGTGAAAGGCTGTCTGACAGCACAGATCTAATTACATGAGAGAGCCCTGAACAAATTAGTCAACCAAGTAAACAGCATGCAGACAGCACTCCACCCTGTCCCCCCTACCCCCCCCATCCCAAACCACTGGCTGGGGACAGAGAGGAAGATGCCAGAATACACTTGGCTCTAGAGCAGAGGAGTACATGCCATGGAGGCCCTTTGAGTGGCACAGAAGTCAGAGTGCCTGTGAGGGTACAGGAGACACGGAGGCTCCACAGAGGAGGTACCTGCAGGCAGCAAGGGCTGGGTGTCCACCTGGGCATTAGATCAGGTGAATGCAACTCAACAGTAAACAAGAGAGTAAGGAAGACTTAGCAGATGGCAGCTTCTTTGGAGACAGCCAGCCCAGCCCAGCCCATCATGCATCCAGAAAACACACACAGTGTCTAGAAAACAGTTTAGCTGACATTAGACTCCCAGATAGAACTCCTAGGGGAGTTATGAGGGAAACGCTCTTCCCCTTCAGACCAAGGTCAAGGCTGAGTTAGAGCTTAACACTCCCCTCTGCAAAGGCCAGAAACTAGGCTCCCCCAGGTGAGCATTACCTTTAGCTAGAGCACCATGCTAAGATATAGCTAATGCATGGGGGCTCTGAGGTCCTGGATACAGGTTCATTGGGAATGAGGGCAGAGATGCTGCTGGCTAATCCCCGTCTCCCTCACCAAGTCTCTGGATGGCACTGGGTTGCAGACAGTCAGCTCTCTGGAGCCCACATTCTCCTGCATGCAGCTGTTTTCCCCACTCCACAAGCCTTGCAGGGATGTCATCCTTCCTAACAGAAGCAGTTGCTCTGGGCCACGCTGTAAGCTCTTCAGGATGAACAGCTGAAGCCAAGATCAGGGCTCTGAAGGGAGTGTGCAGGGGAATCCTGCTGCCATCACCTGTTCCCTCTATAGCATGTGTATGCTTGGGGGAAGAGGGACAGACATCAGCTGCTGGGGAGTCAGAAGAGAGAAGCCCAAAAGCCATAAAGACTTCGGAGATGAGTCCATAACCCCCTTACAAAAGGTGAAACAGGAATTGGTAACACCCTCCAAGCCCCATGGCTGTCATTGGGCAAGGTTTGCCCCTATGTGATTAATGACAGTCACATGCCAGCTTGGTCAACATGACCTTCCATGTTAATTCCCACTGGAGATCCCTGAATCAAACTCAGGGGAAACTTTAATTCAGCCTACACAGGAGTATTGGTCTCCTGGCCAAAGTGTTGGACCAAGACCCTGGAGACCTAGATTTAATTCTGAGCTATGATGTTTTTCTTATGTGACCCTGGATGAATCAACTAGCCATTCTGTGCCTCAGTTCCTTTTTAAGAGGCAGATGCCCTCCCCATCACCCTTTCTCCAGCCTGTCTAGCTTCTATAGAACAAGTGCTACCAGTCTCATTTCAGAGTCCCTAAGCACTACTAAAAGACATGTAAAGTTGCAGGCAATGGACACATTTTCAGAAAGAAGAGAGCCTATTCCAAGGGTGAGCCTAAACATGAGGAAATTTCAGTCAAAGGAGGCTGCAAGCAGGTTCAAAATTGAGCTTTAATGTGGAACCAATTCTCTGGTGATGGGACCACCTGTTAGGTGTGGACAGACAGTTGAAGTGCTTTAAAATTACAGCACTTTACAGTTAATCCACTGTATTCATTTCATGTCTGCTGTATTCTACTGTAAGTGGAAGCTAAGCCATTGTAACTTTAAACCTGTTTCACGTGGGTATATTGGTATAAGGCAGGACAGACAAAACAGTTACACTAGTTCACCTGATGTACTCTCTCCGGAGCAGTTAAGTCCCTCCCCACTCTTTAAAACTGCCTGTTACATCTGTCCATAGTTTATTCATTTGCTATGGCTTTGTCTGTTGTTCCCCCACCTCTTAGAATACGTTTTCTTTCTGAAAATGCACAAGTGAATGAAGACAGTGCTTGTGCACACATACAGCTTGTCACCAAACAAGTCACAGTCCCATGTCCAAGACAGACCCTTCTCTTAAATTACGATTGTGACTGAGGGCGACTGCTTTTCCTAGGGAGATGAGCTACATGCGTGATGCTTACAGGTCTATTCAAAACCTGCTCTCCGACCTAGCATTTCTTCAAACATGGTGAGCGGACAGAAACCAACAGTTAAAATTTGCATTCATCCAAGGACTTCAGATCACCTTACAAACACGAAACCTCGGCATCTACTGTGAAAGCTCAAGTACACAGCACATCCAACAGGTACAGAGGCAGCACAGGCTCCAAGGCCAAGGAGTCTGTGAAAGCAGCAGGAAATCTGAATCCCAGAGATTTAATGACATCCCCCTCCTCATTCAGCACTACTGCTATGACTGAGCCCTTCCAGGACAGAGAACAAACAGAATATTTGGAAGCTGTGTACAAACAGGCCTTAGCAGTAAGGTTTCTTTTTAGGATACAAGAAACATGAAGAGATGCTAGGAAGTTTAGATTGCTGCAGTACTGGACAGGAGCCACAGTCTGTCCTTCTCCTCAGCAAAAAATAGAATGAGTTGAGGGTAAGACAGCTATTAGAAAGTTAGCCTGATGGGACTAAACCTTGAAATTCAGGTAAAAAAAGGGCCTCTGGTTCATTATAGCCTCAGTCACGCACACAGGTAAATGGTGGGAGAGATGGGCAGAGCCTGCTTATGTATATAGGGAGCATTTTCGTTCAACTTACCGGTGTCTTCAGGTCTTTGAGCTGGTTTCTCAGCTGGAAGAGCTCAGAGGATGTCAGCAGTATAGTGTTCAGGGTATGAACCATGGTAGAGGCAAACTTAAGGTCCTCCTCCCGAAGCAAGATGTCTGCCATGGAGTGGAAGATGTTCTCTGCATTCAGCAGTAGACAAAGTTGCCTGTATGTCAACAAAAGAATAAAAGAAACAGAGTTATCCTTCCAGTCTACAAGGTAACCCTACAAGATCTGTGTACCATACACCAATTGGTAAGGTGTCCCTGACTGATGCAGGGACATTAGGGATGGGAACAGCACAGCAGGGTTGCATCTAAGCACTTCCCCATAGGCCACTATAGTCTCTGTTCTCTCTGTAATGCTCTGACTTGAACCAGCCCAGTTCCAACCACTGGTGTTCCTGCCACTTCCCTTATGA